GTACGATCGTTGCGAATGAGTTGAAAACCAGGAAGTGAGTAAGCTGTAGAGGGAAGAGAAGGATGAAGAAATGATTCCGAAACAAGTACGGCATGAATATTTTTATCAGAAAAAGTTACTAGAAAATCGGGATAGTGAGCAGGAATACTTTGTGCGTTAATATGTGCTATATTAAAATTTTTGGGTACATCTGATGTTATAGATTGGAGACAATTGTTTAAAGATGGAATACTACAAAAACTATCATTACTGTTCAATCCATCAGAGGAGGAACAAAGAGATAAAAAGTCTTGAGTATCATCATTAGCAGAATTAAGCATAATGTATGCTATAGTTAGATACTATTACTTATATATATATATAAAAATAATATATATAAATATAATATATATATAAAGAGCAAAATATTAAGCAAAATTACATAAAATAAAAATCGATAAATAAAATTATGCGCATTAGTACAACCTACCAGCAATAAAACTTAACAGAAACGACTATACCAAATTTCAACAATTGCACAAATCAAAAACAATAAAATTGTAGAAAGAAATCTTTCACACTAAAATACTAAGTAAAATTACACAATTAAACAAAAAACAAGAACAGCATAACAAAAGCGTAAAACGGAACACACAATGAGCGGTGGCACAAAGGTTATTGCTCGAAGCAGCAGACCATAGACAAAACAGAAAACAAAACCAAAAAAGAAAACAAAAATGACATGTCAAGTTGACAGTTGTCACTAATACTTTACAAGTTGGCTCTATAAATTAGTATTAGGAATAAATTAAATTAGCTACCTCCAACGCATAAAAGTGAATTACAAAAGAAATAACAACTAAATTACCCTCCAAGCAAAATTGTGAAGCAGTAACCAAAACAAAATCCAATTAACAATATAAGTGCGTAAGGCAAAAATGTAACAATACAAAATCTGCATATGTTTATTTCATTAAAAAAAAAAAAAAAAAAAAAAAAAAAACAAAAAAAAAAAAAATTAGATCATATATTAAACAGATAGTCTAATAAGATTTATCGGAGTGGGGGTACGCTACCCTGCACCGCGCGGGAGGGAGTTAGTTTGCAGCAGCTCTTCTCCGGGTGTCTTTTCATGCAGGACGGTCATGAGGGCAGTTTTGATCGACCTTACTAGCCGCTCCCTTGCGCCTCTGATGTTCGGGGCGCTGGGTGGTATGAACCCCCAGGTCATGAGGCGCTGCAGTCTCAGGTCATCCAGTGCAGGCTTCCATTCTTCACAAGCGGTGCATAGCTCAGCGTCGGTACTGCGAAAGTTGGTGCCGTTTATGCCGTGTTGTTGGACGAAATTGGTAAGGCCTTTGAAAGGATCATAGCCGACCGAATTGTCCACTTTCTTCTTTCACCAAATCATTTCGGTTTTCGTAGGCGGCTGTTTACGATCGATGCCATATGGAAACTGAGGAGAATCTCTAAGGAGGCTGTTGGTAGAAGTTGGTAGAAGAAGACGATGCTGCTATAACCACCTCATAGCAGTATCGTTAGATATAGTGAGAATACGCGCGGCTTAAGGGGTTCGCCGTAACGAAGGAATCCGCTATATTGGACAACAGACACCCATTCACTCGCCTATTAATAATAAAGAAATATAAGATGGTGAGTCACGGGGGGAGGGAACGAGTTGTTAACGACCTCCACCCACAATACTGGATATTACACCTCCGGTCATCGGTACGCAAGGTGGCACGTGACTGCGCGACGTGTCAAATAAGAAAAACTTGACCGAGGACGCCGGTATTCGGCGACTTGCCCGCTGCGCGAGTCGATACATATCGCCGGCGCCTCGTCGCTAAGACGAGAA